TTAATAAAGGATAATCAACAATAAGACAAAAGATGTAATTTAAAATGTAGAGTAAATTAATAACAACAAATACTCTTAAATCAGGCAGCTGGTGGTTAAAATTCATTTCTTGGATACAGACATTCTATGAGATGTCAAAGATTAAATCTAGATACCTTGTAATTCATAAATATTTAATTTTTTAAGTGATATTCTATTTCTATGATAATTTTTTAAATGATATTCTATTTCTATTATAATTTTTTAAATGATATTCTATGTCTATTATAATTTTTTTAATGATATTCTGATATTCTATATAATAATAATAGATCATAAATCAATTTTTCAGTGAGTTTCTTGATTTTATTTAATTTATCACATTGATTTTGCTGTATAATAAATTCTATGGTGTAATGCCAAGAGACTTTAATATATATTAACTTTTTCATTTCAGGTTTTATATACTGATTGCCAATGTTTGGCTGCTAATGTTACAGCTGTTGCAGGGTATTGTCCATTAACATGTAATAATTTGATATGGTATATTGTTGTGTTTTCGTTTTTTGTGCTTGTTCATTCGACATCAGAAGTTGGTTCAATGATGTTGACTCTAAGGTATGTAAATTTAACAGGATCAACGTGTTTTAAATATTTAAATATATTTATGTATAAACTAATTTTTATATACCTTATCATTAAATAGTCATTCATTTTCAAATGATTGATTATAATACATGGTTATAATACATGAAACATTTAAAAAATTTATTATTCATAAATTGCACAACAGATACTATATTTTTTAACATTGACATAAAAGTAAACTCTCCAAGTTTTTTACATGAGTCACAAATGCTCAGTGTGTCTACCTTTGCTGATATGGCAGACGTCTAGATGAAAATATATTTCCTCCTGCACATGTCAGCACTTCCAACTGTTGGTCGCAAGATGCCAATTTCTAAACTTGCATATGTAGTGGACTTGTGGGGACTACACTCATAGGCTTGTTTAACACAACCCACAATTTGTTCACTTGGCCCTGGACATCTGGAACAAGATGCACAGTTTTCATCCCAGAATTTCACAAACCATTTCAGGACAGTGTTATACACAGGTGGCTCCTTATGGAATTCTGTTTAAAATTGTCTCTATACACACACAATGGACAAGATTCTTGAGTATTTCAATATGCAAAATGATTTTTCATGTTTGCTTAGTGTCATATTTGCTACTATTACCTCCTAGTGACAAAACACAACTAGGCATGCATACTATTCCTGAGAAAAAAACTTGGAGCATTTACCTTTAATTTTAATGTTAAAAAATATAGTATCATGTTGTTGTTTAGGAATAATAAATTTTTAGAATGTTTCATGGATTTATAACCCTGTATTTCAAATATATTTTAAATGAATTATATTTTAAACAAGTAAAAAATTTGAAAAATATATTTCTATTTATTATATTATAAATACTACATTTCACTTTAAAATGAATGAAATTGTATTTATTTTTAATAAATGATAAATAATAAAAAAAACACAAAAAATATTTTACATCTCTACGAATTTAAAAAATATAGATACAATATTATATGGGCCAGTGGTTATGAAAGTGGTCTGTCATATTTTTTATTTGGAGATATTTTAACTTTTGAGTTTGTAAAAATTAAAAACACTTTTTATGTAATTGTAAAATTTTATGAAAAGTTTACAAAATAAATTCAATTTTTTTCCTATTTTTTACTTAGACCACTTTCATAATTATATAATTTTATTATAGTCTATTGATTTTGCTATCCATAAACTATAATAAAACCTAGAATTGTAAGCATAATGTTTAAAATTAAAATATAAATTTTTGATGTAAAAAAATAATTATAATTAATCAAATAAAGAAAGTTCAAGTAAACAAAAAATTAGCATATCACAGAAAATTGACATGTAAATTCTTTATATATTCAGAATCTTGTTTTTGAATAACTTTATCTGAATCCTATGATAAGAGAAAAGTTATTACAATATCAATAATAAACAGAAAAGATAATTGACACAACCTGAATATAATGAAAGTATAATTTATGAAAATTAAAATGTATTGAAAATAAGAGTTTTAGAGCTAAATATTGATATTTTTGTTTAAAAATTTTCTAATCTTTCTTTTACCTAAAAATACATTTCTTCTAAATTTAAATTTTAAATATAAACAATATAATTTGCTTAGTTGAAGACTGATAAGATTTCTGATAAATTTAGTATCATTATTTTCATAGACTAAACTAATAAACATTAATCAAGGTTGCATGTAAATTATACTGTAATTCATTGATCTATATATATAATATAAGTATATATATTGTAATTTTAATAGCCAGTGACATATAAAATAATTCCACAGTGGTATTTTATGAATTTTGAGAAGATCCATTTTCATTTATAATTCATTTTAAAATAAATATTATTTCAAAGTTTATAAAATAAAAGTAAGTAATATAAATAACTATTATTACTTATCAGTTTCTAAAAAAATAACTTTAATGAAATAAATAAATCAAAATTTACAGATATTAGACAGTACAGTTACATAATAACCATTATCAACAGCTTTTATACTACAATATAATATTAGTAAAACAATCAGAAAATGCTTTGTGAGAATTCTCTTGTACATATGCATAATAAAAAAAACAAATAATAAAAACAGAATAATCAAGAATAAGCATCAGTCCAAGTTTACAATATTTTATTTTAAGAATTTCCTTTTCATATGTCAAATTCAAAACATGTTAGATGAAAATGAAAATCTTATAATTTAACTTTCTATAAACTTAAACTTGATCACTTCATATAAAAGTAAATATAAATGTACCACCATAGCCAGATATACAGTATTTTTATCAACACATAAAAGCAGTTATGAGTGATTTTGAATAAAAACCTAGTATTGGATCACTTTCTGATATTATTCAATATGATGCCTTATATGATACTGTTATGTCCAGAAAAGATACCACCTTAAGTAATTGTACTATTAATCTTAAATATGAAATGTAGGTTCAGAAAAGATTAGATTTTTGTACAGTGACACCCCAGTTAACAAACTTAATCCATTTCGTGACTCTGTTCATTAACCAAAGCAATTTTTCCCATAGAAAGTAATGCAATATGCCATAATGCAAGTGCAATTTATTCATTCTAGCCTCCAAAATTTTTGTGATTTTATTTGTAAAATACAGTAGGTTTTCTTTGATGAAAATATAGGAAAATGTAGTATCTATCATTATAGCAACAAACATGTAAACTTTATTTAATAAAATAGCACTTTAGATACCTTTGTTTGTTGTAGTTGGTAGCAGAGGAGTGGAGATATATGGAGCTTAATGCTTAGAAGGGAAATTCCCTTCCAAAAAAATAACGGGTAGCACTTCATTGGGAGATTCTTCAAGTCAAGGTCTCTTTTGGTAAGGAACAAGAAATTGATCTAAAGTTGATGGTCTTACTCTTTTAATCACAATTTTTCTCAAATGCAATAGCACATTGTTGTTTTCTATTGCCACTATCACTTTTCTCTTTCTTGGATGCCATATTGATTAAATATATAAATCACAAAACTGAAAAAAGAAGTTTAGCACAAACACTCAGAAAAGCAATGCTTAACTCGTGCATGCCTAACAGCAATTAAAATTTGACACAAAAAACCATTACATTCGTTATCCAAATTTTGTCTGTTATCTGAGACAAAATTTTTGAAAAATAAAAGTTTGTTAACCAGGGCATTTGTTAACCGGGGTTCCACTGTATACCTAAACATAAACATGAAACTGTACTATATTTATGATAAAATTTGTATCTTACTTAGACATACTAAATGTACAGTAGTACTCTTATACTATATTTCCTTCTTTTTATAAAAATTTATATTTTTGCATATACTATTAAATTTATTATATAAAAACTGATACATACATGCATACATACATGCATGCATGCATACGTACATACATACATACATACATAATTCAATATACGAGGGCTGTTCAAAAAGTATCGGACCTTTGGTCGGCAAAAATACACTTATTGATTTTGAGGTACAAAACCCTAATCCCCTTCAAAGTAGTCTCCTTGGTAGTGTATACACTTCTCCCAGAGTTCCTGCCATTGCTGGAAACACTGCTGGAACGCATCTTTTGGAATGACCATCAGCTGGTCCATCGCATTCCGCACGACGTCTTCTCTCGACTAAAATCGGGTTCCTTTCAGCGGCATTTTCAGCTTGGGAAATAGCTAAAAGTCACACGATGCCATGTGGGGAGAGTACAGAGTGTGACGAACCACAGGAGTGTTGTGTTTGGCGACGAAAGCCCGAATCAGATTCACAGAATGGGCAGATGCGTTATCATGATGGATCTGCCAAGTTTTGCTCGACCACAGATCCGGTTGTTTGCGTTGCACAGCATCGAAAAGACAACGAAGGACCTCCTGGTAGTACTCCTTTGCGATGGTTTGGCCTTGTGGTGCGTGCTCACGATATACCACCCCACAAGAGTCAAAAAAACTGTCAACATGACCTTGATATTGCTGCGAACTTGCCGTGCTTTTTTTGGCCTCGAGGATCGTCCCCGAAAGCCTGCTGAATCTTGCGAATGGTTTACGCTTGAGTATCGCCAAGGTTTTTGGCAAAATTTGATGTATCACTGTAATATCACTGCTCACGTTGTTCAGTCATTTTCCAACTTAGTGGAATCCGATGAGAGCTCACTACATATCCTCACTCAAAGGCCGACTACCAATGACTGACGCTTCCTGAAGGCGGGAAAAAATTCAGGGCTGTGCATGACTCTCCCCTCCACAACTCCACCGAAAGAGACCTCTCGCGCATCATTGGTTTACGCGGAAAAAATAAAAGTCCAATACTTTTTGAACAGACCTCGTATGTATTAGTATGCATCAAATTTATATATTTAATGTGTGTCCTAAAATATAATTTTTGATATACTGTTCTTAAAATTATGTTTTCTTACTTTATTCTCTTGTGTTTTCTGTCTTTCTAATCATTCATATGCAATTAGAATACTTCTAATTCTTTTGAATCTATTATTATGAAAGCTTGGTATGTAATGGAATGCGATCAAATTACAAATTTCACACATATTGTTTCTCATTTAAGATTTAACAGTAAAATAAGGAAGAAAATGTATAAATATAAGAAAAGTAGAATTTACTTAAATTCCATCCTGCACACTAAAATTACTCAGAAAAGATTTTAACTAAAAAACACAGTATTAATATGTACAGTAATAAAAAGAAAATACTAGAACTGGCAGATGCATGTTTAGAGAATGACAGTATGATAATTATCACAAGTTTTCCCATATATTCATAAAGTGAAATTTTTTTCAAAACATTCATTATTATTTATATTTTTTATTTAGCATTTTTTATAACTAGTAAAACAGCAAACAGACTATTTGATTTTTTCACAATGTTTCATGGAATTACAGTGAATAACTCTTAAATCAGAAACTGTATTCAAGAGAACTCATGAAAAAATATGATGATCTTAATTGAAAATTGTGCTTGAATATATTTTCTCTTCAGAACGGAATGAATATGATTGTTTGAAATTTTTAAGAAATTTATTTTATGAAAATAAAAAAGTAAAATTGGTCTATCAATATATTTCTTTTTTGATAATTTTTTAATATTAAACATTCAAAGTTACTTATTATTATTATTATCATCATATTGGTGGAGTGTTTTCTACACAGTGTATATACAGATACCTAGTGCTATGCCAGACTAAAGTCATGGCATAACTACAGAAAAGTTTTATTTATATGCTGTTCATGTATATATTTTTGTTTAAGAATTTGACTATGTGGCATGTGTTTAGTATGATAGTGTTTAGTATAATGTGATATATGTGTCATTGTGAAGTCCCAATGTTTCAAGACTTTTGTATACACAAAAGTCTTAAAACATTGGACTTCACAACATTAGGAAACATGTATATGGTATGATGCCTATACCAGGAAGGAATACTGGCATAATAAGTAATTTATCCATTCTCCATAGATGCTTCTTGTGGGTGAGTTCTGAATATTTAATAATTTTTTAGTGTATGTGTTTTGTTTGTTGTGAGTGTTTGGAACAGCTTTCTCTATAATGTATATGATTTTGTTTTGTTTTACTGGTCTGTTGTGATAGTTTTAATCTGTGATTATGGATTTTCATTGTGTTGTTTTCTAAGACCATCTGAAATGTGTATTTGTAGTATTGTTCCTGAATAGAAGTTTGTGTTTGTGTGCACGCTTTTGATGTATTATATTTGCTATTTGGTTATGACAATGTAAATAGTCAGTTTATATTAAAAGCTTACAATCTGATGTGATATATTATATAGTCTCATGCATGATGTGACATTTCCTGTAGGTGTTATCTGTGAATATTATCTTTCAAGATTGTGCTTAAATATAGTTTCTTGTATTTATGACCTGATATTGTATTGACAATCATAAACCCTTCTGTCTCTCTGAAGAGACACTCATGAGTCAGTTAGCAGTTTTATTATTATTATAAGCAGCACCTGGCAGTAGTAGTATGTTTAGTATTTTTTTTTTCTATAAATATATTTTGCAAATCTCAAGTTAGTCTCTCTTATCTTAATCTGAATGATAAAATTAAGTTTTAGATGGAAAAATCTGCTTAGCTAAAAAAAGAAAATTCATTATGTAAAAAAAAATTTTAACTGCTAAAGACAGATTTTATAATGATCCAAAATTATTAAACTACTATTTTAATCTGAGATTCTTAATAATAAAGACTAAAATCCTATTTTTCTTAAAAAATAACTGATTTTGAATTACCAAGATTAATAATCACATTTTATAGAACTATAATGTTAAATATTATTTATAAATATTGTATAATTATTTAGAGAAGTATACATATTATGTATGTATATAAATGATCAAAATCACAAATTGATGGCACGAAATGTTTGATGATGCCACAAAGTCAGACTTGGTGCCATTGTTACTGAGATGTTATTAGTGAGAAATATTTAAATCTTGAACACTTATTTACTGTCAAGTTAAAAATAACAACTGAAACTCTAAATAAATAAACAAATCAAATTTTGGCCCTAAAAAGTTCATGGATGATCTTGCTTTATATCTTTTTCATAGCAATATGAACAGAAAACTAAGATAAACCAGTTTCTTGAGATAAATGCTTCAGATTTTGTGGGATTCATTTATAAGCATAGTTGAATATCTTGATATCTTTCCTCGGATAACTTTTTGTTCATGACATTTTTTTTCTATTATAGACAGACTTCTTGTACAGTACCACTTATTAAAAAATCTGCGAGCAAATTTTTGTAAGCATAGAAAATTCAGGATGTTTTTGCATAAGCCTTCAGTTCTTGGTAACTTTTCATAATAGAAAATTATATAAAACAGCAAATTTTCTGTTCTGTAATTTAAAGCATCACAACATTTAATTTAAATAACAATAATGACCAAATACTAAACTCAGTGTAATGAGTCAGTCAAGTGACACCAGCTCACTTGACTGACAATTCTGACTTTTTTTGAATTTGCCAAACTCCTCATTCTAGTGCTTGCAAGTCTTTTTTGTTAGATAATTTAGTAGAGGCAAGTGTGGAATCCAACAAAAAAATTAAGAGATATCACAATGTTTATGGCTTCATCAAAAATATTTAAATTCATATAACAAATATGAAATATCTGCTTGTGTCTTATATTTGTAAGATATGAAATAATGATTTTGCTAGTTCATGTTTATGGCTCCAAAACTTTACTCAAAATTTGAAAATTAAAAATAATTCAAATTCATTTTAGAAAACAAATAGAAAATGCTGTTAATTCCTCTGGATTTCATTTTTCATTCATTTAACATTCAATTTCAACTTTGAAATAGAATTTAACAGAATACAAAGACAATAACAACCTGCACTTTCTAATATTCAATTTTCTTTTATGTTTTTTTACTTTAAGAAGTCAAGTTTGTTTTTCATTAAGTTAGTTTAAATAACAAGTGAAATATATAAACTTTTTAATAATGACATTTTAGCATGTCAGTTAACATTAACATGTATTAATCATAAATTTAATGACAAAAAACTGGGGAGTTACATGAAAACACTTGCTCTCTTATATTTCCACTTGATATGCACTTTTGTACTATTTTCAGCTGCATTATGAAAATTTTCTTTCAATAAACATTGTCAGTGTCGAATACCAAATCTGATAAGGTAAGAGTTATTACTGAATGTGATTGAGTACCTTGGCCCCTCTTTTCTATCCATTTTTATATATAAAAACACATGACAAGCTTATGTATGTTAGAAAGGTGTATGAAGAATGATATATTTTTATCATATATTACAATGCATTCTCATTAATAATGAGAATGTACAGTATCATATGTAATACATATGTTCTCATCATTCTTTATATTTTTTTATTAGTCTTGAAAATAATAGAATACAATATTGTTAGATTTACAAATATGATTAAGTTAGATGTTACAAATAAAATTTTAAAAGATTTCTAATTATTTTTTTATTACATTTGTAGATGTGTTGATCCTCAAGATAAAGCAATGGCTTTAGGATTGATATCTTTTGCCATTGGCTTGTTTGGTAAGAAAGTTGCCTCAGTATATTTTATAAATTTTTAATATGTTCTATGAATATTATGTATTTATTATAATATTATGTAGCATTTTCAGATTAACCAATCCATCTTGCATATTATAACATTTAAGAACAAAAATTTGGAGCAGAATTGTAGGATAAACGAGCAAAGGCATACCCCTAGTACATGTACACATCACACTTCCCAATTATTAACCTCATATATATTAAATCATTAAGTTATGTAGTTTGTAAATAAGAATGAAATAAGTACAATATTAAATATGCTGATATATACAGGGTGTCTTGTCAAGACTGCATAAACTATCCAGAGTGTGAATCCTCACTTGGAGTACATAAAAAAATGACCCAAAAACCATACCTCTATGACCCATAGTTTTCAAGAAAAATGCAAAAGAAAATGTATGATGTCACATCTGGTGCTCAGAAAAGAAGCTTTATTGGAAACATGAACATCAGTACTTGCATATGATATTTTGATTACATAGGAAGATGCTCAAAATGATCACTGTGCATGTCGAGGCATGCATGTGTACACCATAGAATGGCTGTATTATCCAGCATTGTGTTGTCCACAAAAGGAAATGCAGCATGAAGACAAGAAAGCAAGATTGGTCGTTTTGAGCATCTTCCTATGTAAGCATAATGTCATATGCAAATAACGATGTTCATGTTTCCAGTAAAGCTTATTTCTGTGCACCAGATGTGACATCATACTTTTTCTTTTGCATTTTTCTCAAACACTATCAGTCATAGAGATATTGTTCTTGTCATTTTTTATATACTCCAAGAGAAGATTCTCGCTCTGCAGAGTTTAGGTGGTCTTAACATGACACCCTGTATGTATGTATGTATGTATGTATGTATGTATGTATGTATGTATTCAAATATTTATTGTCAACTGATTGGTGGAATGCAAGCGCTAATTCAGAACAATAAATTTGCCTTTCAGTTTTAGTATAAGCAAAATTAACTTTTTGTAGTAGTAAAAATATCAGTTGAGCAAAGAATATTTGTATGCTATAATAATTATTCAATTGTACAGTTTTAATTGTTTTATGTATAAAAATAATATACAACTTAAATTAAGAAATTCATCATTGAGTCTATTTCTAAAAGAATTTAGTTTTTTGCTTTTATTATTCATAACAGTATTTTATATTATGTGCCCACCAGTGGCCAAGCGGCCTTCATACCCTGGGAGTTTGGTCGTGGGTTCGCGCCGCGATCGGACAGGCTGGCTGCTTGGAGTTTTCCGGGTTTTCTCCTTGCCAATAACGACTAAATAGGAGGCCAGTTCCCCATAAAAGTCCTCCCGGAAGGCATTCTTTCCCCTCGCGTAACATCACGCCCCAGAGAAGGCAACGGGAAACCACTCTGGGTACTAACCTTCCCTAGTAACACCTTGGCGTATTATTAACTACTTACTAATCTACACCGGGTGTCGCCGATGTCAGAAATCTGATATGGCACCAAGAAGAAGAAGATTTTATATTATATCAATAAAATATTATAATTAAATATTATTACAAACTTTATTCTTAACTGAAACTTATAATTAACTCCTTGGCAAAAAAAATCATATATTGTATAACAATGGTAGCCTACATTCATCCATTCTTGAATGAAATTTTGATAAAAAGAAGAGGAAAGAAGATGATTCAGCTTTGTACTTTACATTTCTGATTAATGATTTCTATGAATTGTATAATGCAAAAGTAGAATAAACAGAAAAGCATTCTTTTAATAGAAAATTTCAATATTTTATTGATATTCTATTTGATGATAAATAAAATCAACTGTTACAAAATAAAACACAATTTTTTAATCTGTTAAATGTTTAAGAGAAAGAACTCAATTATCTTAATTAACATATTAATTGTTAACATATATTTTAATTTGAAAATTCATTTATAACAATTAAAGAATACATACTAGTTTAGAATTGCAAAATTTTACATATAAATTTTGCCACATTTTATTTCTGAAGAAACTATCCATCAAATATTTATTACAATAAACATAACACAATTAATGAAATTGTTTTAGATATTATGTAACATTTATTGAAAGTCTTTTAAAATTAAGAAGTATGTTATTATACATTTTATACCATTTTTGAATATTAACTTAAGTTTAAAAATAGATAATGAAATTAAATAGAACAATTTCAAATTCCTAATTTAAGTATTATCTTGATTATTATTTGTAAAACTCAGTTTAATTTAAATAAATATTTCATTAAAAATAAATTTATATTATTATATTTTAAAAGATTATTTTTTTTAATTTTTATTAGGAAACGTGCCTTGTCCTATTATCTATGGTGCTGTTGTTGACTCTGCTTGTTTATTTTGGGAAGATAATTGTGGGGAAGCCGGAGCTTGTCGAGTATATGATCCAGACAAATTTCGAATGGTGTTTCATGGCCTTACTGCTGCAATTATGTTTGCAGCATTTCTTGTAGATGCTCTAGTCTGTTATAAAGCAAGATCTATTCAATTTCAAGAAGAAGAACATGTTACAAATGCAGATGAAGTGATACCTATGAATTCTGGTCCTTGTGGACAGTTTGAATCAAGTGTATAAAAGCCACTAATGCTTGAATGCCTTATTACAGGAACTCCTTAAATATATAGTTAATTAATACTGATGGAATTCCATCCATTGAGTCCTGCCACAATATGAATATTCTGGACTGCAGTTCCAATAATACTCATTGTCCATTATGTGCATACTTCTACACAAGATAGTCAATGAGCACAATGTTTTTACTAAGCACATTTTAGTTATATATTCTCCTGTGTACAGTTTAATTGTATAAATTTTTCCTTATAAAGTTTATGGACAAGAAATGAAGCGTTTGTAATGACAGAAGTACTTGCATGTTCATTCAGTGGATTCCTAATGACGTTGTTTTACACGCAATGTGTTAAATATAGCATATTTCAGAGAAAGAGTGATTACATTTATACTGTGTATTTTCTAAGATTATTAAATTTTATCGCAGGTAAAGAAATTGTTATTTGAATATGGAAATTTTTCACTTTTGTCATACATTTCATAGAAAATTTTCTACATATAAAAATTGATTGCTCACATTGGTATATCACATTTTATAATTATTCAGAAATTGTTTTATTGCAAGATGTTAAGAAAATTTTAGGCAGCTTTAACAAATATTAAATGAAATGATTATTGAAAAAAATTAAGAATTTTTGAAAATTATTGTTTATGCATAAATATATTTCAAAAGTGATAAGTATTTCCATATGCAAATGTTATTAACAATCATTTATTCTAAAGAGATGTGTAAATTCTTTGTTATTGTCATTACATTATAAAGTATATCATATTAAAAGAAGAAAAAGTACATTGACACAGTATTTAGAACTGTTTGTAGTTTTGTTTTAAAAACAAATTCTAAGATCAAGTTATATACGTATGACATATAAATATTAAACTTGTATTTATGCTATTTACTGAGAGTGGATTGGTGTTTCTAGTCTATGAGATCATCAAAATTTTTTTACAGACTCATATCCCCAAAAAAATTTGTCTTTGTAGATTGTCTTTAATTAGAATATTCTAATGATAGAATCAAACAATTTAAAATGTTTATATAAAGAACAAGTTCTATTTCAACAGATATGTGGAACTTATGTTTATTTCCTGTAAAAATATAAAAATTTTAGGGAAAGATTTTTAAGATTACCATTATAAAAGAAGTTAAATTATTGTAATGTGATAAATGTAACAACAATTTTTAATTTACAGGTATGGAAATTTGATGATGCAAAACAAGTTGACCGTTATGTACATCTATAAAATAATTTTTGATTTACATCAGGAAAATTTATTTATGTACTGTTGACAGTATAAAATAATAATATACTGCTGTTAAGTAAATTTCAGAGCTTTATGTGATTAATTTGCTTTAGTAATTCTTTGTGATTAGTTCTAATCAATATTTAGTTTCTCTCTGATACATTAGTAATCAATTAATTTCACTTATATACATTAGAAATTTTTTATAAATTATTTTTAATTAAGTTTTATCAAAATTTCTTAAAATATCAGAAGAGTAGGAATAAATTAGAGATTACAATTTATAGAACAACAGTAATTTTAATCAAATAATTATGCTTGTGTAGATATAATAATTAAACTATTTAAGGATTCAAATAAAATTATTAAAGATAAATGAAATAATTTATCTTTATAAAGTTTTATTTCATTATTAATCAAAAATACTTGAAAATACTTAGGTACTGTTCCAGAAATGTACAATCTAGATCATATTTTTAAAATTTTTATACAACCCAAAAGAGATTAAAAGAAAATTTAACATATAAGAGCATAATCTTTTCTAAATAACAACATGAGAACTCAAATTTAAAATATTTTTTAAAATTAATTTAAAAATTAATATCTTATTTTAGAATCAAGTATAATTCATATGCTTTGCATTCTTCTTTTTCTATTAGTCTAATAGGCAATAGCAAAAGACATCAATATTCAAACTACAATGATATTGAAGCAAGTCTGTTCTTTTTTCAGACCTTGAAATATTCAAGGATGTCTAGTAATTGGCAATTGCTCTAACTTCCAAGGCCATATTCTTTCTTCTGAGGGGTTTACTTTGTCAGCTTTTCTATCTTTGGATTACTTTGACGTCAGTGATAATATGACAGATAGCTATTATTATAAAAATGTATTCATTTCCACATTTATTAAAATATGATGATGATGATATAGAATTTTAAAGTATGGCATCAATTTAAAAATAAAAAAGTTCATAAATCAAATTTTAATTAATTTATTCATCATTTGAAAAGTAATGCTTAAAATCATGCTTAGTATGCAAAATTAGCATTTCAATTTGCAATAATAATGAAAGTTAAGAATATTTTTACAATAGTTTTTTAAAATGCATTGTCCTAACTTTGTTACATGAATAATTTGCAGTTTTCAAGATTCTCATTTAAAAAATCTTATTAACATTGCCAATTATTGTTTCAGTTAGGTTACTACAATACTATTAAGCAGTTACATGATCAGCTGTTCTGCATTCTGTGTCTGTTCCAATTTTAGTACTTGTTAGGGTGCAATGAACTTGTTTTAAATTTCATACAATTCTTTGCTTTATATATGTATATTCAATTCCTTGTATTATTAAATTATTTATTATACATGAATAAGATATCTTAGAGTATCATTAACTAAAAATCTCATTTAATAACTACTTAAATTTTGTTATTTTTGTTGAATCACTTGCTAGTCACAACTAAAAATTCATACAAAATGTTAGTTTCCATATAGTCTGAAAGAAGATTTTTTATTTTCAATAATGATTGGGGATATGTTGATAACTAAATATTCTTATCTGCTTGAATAACAATCAGGGGTATATATATTCTTGTCTAAGTACAAATTTAATGTTGATTATCAAAATTGTGGAAAATAAATCTTACAAGTTAGTAATTTGAAATTTATAACTGAAGATCTCTAGATTTACTTGCAAAAAACAAGTATGCTAATAGGTTCGCAATAACCTCATATCCATATATGATGTGCTATTATCCACATATACATTAGCTGAATTTAAAGATTTCAAATATAATTAAACGGAATTGATTAAATACGTACAAATAATTATGTATGTATTTAATCAATTCCATCTAAAACAATAATTTACGTACTAGTAACACATAAAAGTGAGTTCTTGAAGTAAAATATGATGTATCAGAATATATATAGGTTTTTATCTCTTAGAACGAGTTTTTAATTTTTCGTGCCATAGATCGCTTCCACAGTCTAATTTCTTTTCGAACCAACGTTTTTTAAATGCCTAAATATCAAAATACCACTATATTTGTGATATAGTAATGTGCATATAAAATTTTATATGATGAAAATGTAAGTTATATATATAAGGTGTGACAAAACTCCGCGCCAATATTTTAGGGATATATTTTAGAGTCAAAAATAAGTTTAGAATCCTCTAAACGTTTTTCAAAATCCGCTTCATTTTTGATGATTTAAGTTTATTTTGACCCTAGAATCTATGCCTAAAAATTTTGACACGAAGTTCTATAACATTTGTATACAGTATACATGATATGTAATGGCCAGTGGCTCATTATCCCATGGGCAAAAGGAGTAATTGCCTGGAGCCTTCGCCAAAGGGGCCGCATATCAATTTTTTTATAAGAAAATCTTTTCCCTTAAAAAATTCCCCCAAAGAAAAATGCCTGAAGTCAACACTGTATAAACACTGTATCCAAACTCCCTAATTCAAATTTGTCTGGGCGCCCTCGAAACTATTAGTTACATGGCGCCCAGACATCATCTACATCATCAGCTACAATCGTTGCTAATACTACTAGATTAGTTATATAATATATAACTTATTAGTCACGTTATTTCAATTCAAAAATTTTCCCACGAGAGGTGTTAGATGACCGGCACGATTTTATTGTTAAAGGAAAAGTATGATGTACAGGGGCAAGCCACTGCTAATTTGAGGTGGTGAGCATATATTTTAAATTAAATAAATTAAAGATATGATTAAAAATTGCAGCCTGGCATTGTGACCATGCCACAATGAATAAATGCTCGTTAACTTTAAATAACTAAGTTATGTTGAAATTTTTTAAAATAGATTAGTACTACTTAGGCTAACCTATAAAGTTGTACAGTACCTACATAAATATGGCCATCGCTGAGCACCAGGATGTCTGTCATAAAATCACGATACCTTATAATGGCCAGCTTTTTTGTAAATTATATAACGACTTCATTAATTAAAAAGGGGAGGTTCAGAAATGTATTTCACGGATTTACATCGTTGCAATTGTTTTATTATTATTATTATTATTCAATTTAATAAAAATTTGCATTGTGAACTGTTACTTATACGTATTTGTTGAATTATTATTATTTGTTTTTTGGTTCTCATAAAAAGTCCAGGCCTGGTACTTAAACCCTATCATTGTGTAACCTCGTTTTTCTCTTTTTTGTGCGCAGTGCATTACAAATTCACACCATCATGGACCGAATTCAAGTTCCAAGGTTTGAGGACACGATACAAAAAAGCATTTAAAAATATATATAGAAAGAACATATGGCAAATTACATAATGACAAATACTAGGACATCGCGCGACTTGTCGTATCACTGCAGAATTGAGGTAAAGTCGGAAAGAAAGAAAGTGATCCTTGCACTTGTCGCCACAAAATAGGCTATCCTCGTACTTGCGATCCAAAGGACAGACGATCCAAGAAGAAAGCAATTGCCACAGATTGCTTTCCTGTTTTTTTCTTTGTATTTCGCGCCTATTTTCCATTAGGCGCGAAATACAAACAATGCTGTGTTATATTTTTGACCGCTTAAATTCCATTAAGCATGGTCAGTGGCGTCGGAAGTACGGACATTGTCACTTTAATCCCACTATATATCCAAAGCGAAGCCACAAACCACTATTTTTTTACATTTAAGTGGATCCTTATTATTTTTTGTACTTAAATTGTCTACAAGGACTTATTTATTACTATGACTTATTATACCGGTGACCTGGTTCTGCAAATTAAGAAAACAATTCAGAAAAAAGTCTTTATTTTTCACCTGAACACATGTTACACAATATAATTGTGTTTCGGACCTGTTGGTCTCTCATCAGCAGGCTTATGACCAAAAATTTTTTTATAAATTTCTTCTGATACAGGTAAACTTAATGTTGGTAATCTTATGGCCTTCATTTTGCATCTTCTTAAGTACCATATTTCTATTATTAATTTTTCTATTTCCTCTGCTATTTTTTCTGTCCTCTGCATCTTCCAGTCCACCAGAATTTCGGTTGTAGATTTGTACTTAAATTGGTACACCGGTACAACATTTTTATGCCTTTGTGACCTTATTATATTTTTGGATTCTTCGTCGTAATTAATGGAAAATGGTAAAGTTTATCCAAAATCGATTGATCAAATTTTAATTCTGTAAGCCACATAAAAGAGGCTTCGCTAACGCTCCTCGTCAAATACAGAGAATGCAAAAGCCTACACCCCAGAACTGGCAAACAAAAGAAAAAAATGAAAAACTATA